ATGCCTAACCTTAATTTCCAGTGCAGCAATTTAAATCCATTACAGCGTACTCTGACTGTGGAAGCAAATCAATTTACTGTTTCCCTCTAATAATTTCTTCTAACATAGTGGAATAAGATCTCTTGATAAAGTAGTGTCTTCAGCTCTCTTTGAAAGCTGTGTTGCTCTTCTTGATAGCGATCCACTTTCTCTTGAATTGCGACATAAAAAATTGGATGAAACTCTCAAGTGAAGCATTTTACTTACGTATTGCAGAAGTGTTCAATGCATCTGTTTATATGCTTCAGATTTAATACATTAGCTTGCAACTAAAAAATTTCTGGCAGGCATTGATTTCTCATGGAGCAGGTCTGACATGCTTGTAAAATTAGGACTCAAATCCACGCAGTTACAGAGCAGCTGATTGTCTTGTGCCGCAGTCCCCAGGATTCCAGGTGATCAGCGTATTCCAGTGCTCTAAATCTTTTCCTTACCATGGCTTCTTTGGACATTAAGCTAAATGCTGTTTCCAGGGAAGTGACAAGGTAGAAGACACTAACTACTGTTCAGTAATGTCTGATCATTTCAGTGTTACAAAGCTAAGCATATTCTAAAGATGAGCTGATGACACAATAGCCCAGTGAAAACTCTAACCAATGCTTTTTATCCCTACTACAACCTAGTAAGGAGAATCGCTATAAGTCTTAGTCTGCCAGAGCCTGCACCCTGCTTGCAGTCGGGCAGCAGTAGTTGTCTTACTGACAAGCACACACAACTGGGTACAGCACGACATCACCAATCTGTTGAGTGAAATGGAATTTTAGGGTTGGTGTGTTTGTGAAGATGAGGGATACTTCATGACCATGGTTTTTATTTTTAATGAATTCTTTGAGATACAGAGTTTGTCAAATTAAGCTTGAGGTAGAAGCAAAACACCTTCTCTGTTTTATTGCAGTAGATGACCAAAGGAGACTACTAAGCAGCTGTGATGTTTAAAAGGATAATAAACTGTTCAATATTTAGTGAATCTGTAGGGGAGCTGACCTGTCACTTTCGTATAGCACTCAAGGCAATCAGACCCTGTGCATCTGAAAACTGCAAGCTCTGTAAAAGTACTTGCAAGCATACATCAGGTATTCAGAAGTGATTTTGATGGGAGTCAACAGCATTGTCTTATATGTAAAGCTTTTCTAGATGTCATTTTCTACTCACTTATTCTTTGTGACTTTGTAGAGATTGGCGCCGAGGAGAAGCAAGAGATGATGAAAGACCTTTCCGGCGAGGAGATGATCTGCCCCGACGAAGTGATGATCTGCCTCGGCGAGGGGATGATCTGCCTCGGCGAGGTCCTGCAGAAGAAAAGGAACGGCCTTCTGTGGAATCAAGTGAGGACAGGCCACCTCGGCGCGAAGGGGATGAAGACAGACCACCTCGGCGTGAAGGGGATGAGGACAGGCCAATCAGACGTGGTTTGGATGAGGACAGACCTCCCAGACGTGGCTTGGATGATGATAGAGGGAGCTGGCGGGCTGCAGATGACGACAGGGGTCCCAGGCGTGGAATGGATGATGACAGGCCACCCAGACGTGTGTTGGATGATGACAGGCCACCTAGACGTGTGTTGGATGATGACAGGCCACCCAGACGTGTGTTGGATGATGACAGACCTCCCAGACGTGTGTTGGATGATGACAGACCACCGAGACGTGGCTTGGATGACGACAGAGGCAGTTGGCGAGCAGCAGATGACGACAGAGGACCCAGGCGTGGGCTGGATGATGACAGGCCACCCAGACGTGCTTTAGATGATGACAGGCCACCCAGGCGTGGGCTGGATGATGACAGGGGCAGTTGGCGTGCTGCAGATGACGACAGGGGTCCCAGACGTGGGCTGGATGACGACAGGGGTCCCAGGCGAGGTCTGGATGATGACAGAGGACCATGGCGTAATGCAGATGATGACAGGCTCTCCAGACGAGATGACGACAGGGGGCCATGGCGTAGCAGTGAAGATTCAAGACCAGGTCCCTGGAGACCATTTGGTAAACCAGGTAAAGCAGAATAATGCCATCATTTTTCCTCCAAAGCACGGTTAAACCAGCAGATAATGGATGTGATATATTTGACAGAAAAGATGGGAGAACCATCTCTGAAAATGTCTGGATTAATTCTGCTAATATGAACACTCCTTTACTTAGGATAATTAATCCTTTTCATTTGGTTCAATTAAACAAACCATGCATGGCCAAAATCAGCAGTATTTATTATTTGCCTGGATAATATCTAAAGATCATATTGTATTGTTGGTATTTATTTACATACAAAAAAACAAGATACACAGGTGTAAAACTTTGGCAGAGGAAGAACATTTTCACTAGTTGAGTGCACCTTGATCTCTTTCTCTGCCTGATCTAAAATTAATCTGCTAGGAAGGATTTTGGTGCATCATTGCATCACTCAAGTGGATCTGGTTTGGATAAGTTATTTTCTTTTTTCCTAGATATGGTAAAAGTAGGAGTATTTTTACACTTTTTTTGAACATCCTCCATTGAGTAGGATTTTAGACCAGATTACTTTCTGAAGTCCCTTCCAACCTGAATTATCCTCCAATCCTATTCCTATGAGGTTTAGTTCTAATTCAAAGTAGTAGTGTTGGTAACCAGTACTTGTTTCTGATTGTGTTTGAAACTGTTCCTGATTTTTTTTTCATTCACATTTGTATGTTTATTATATTTTTATTTTATATTTTTACAGGTGCCACATCAACTCTTTAGACATCAATTATGTAATCCAAACCAGTACCAAAATTATCACAAGTCATTATATTTGCACTCCAGTAGTTTTTTTTCCTATTAAAAAAAATTCTGAAACAGTTTATGGGAGAGAAGTAAATGCATCTTTGAGGGATTAGAAGTTATTCATAAATTCCTTTGACTTTGTTACTTACAGGGGGATGGAGAGAGCGTGAGAAGGCCCGTGAGGACAGCTGGGGGCCTCCCCGAGACTCCAGGCCTCCTGGAGACCGTGAGTGGGACAGAGACAAAGATCGTGATGAGAGTGAGAAAGACCGTGAATTTGACAGAGAAAGGGATTTTGATCGAGATGATCGTTTTAGACGTCCCAGGTTTGGCTCCTTTGTGTAATTAAGAAATAATGTGACTTCACGTAGTGAAATGAACTGTGGTTGGTGTGTAAGAAATGGAGTTCTTTAAGGTAGTAAATGGATAATGGCATAGTGGTTCGTTGTTCTTAAAATGCTAACAGAGTGAATCCCAGATTCTGCTTTTAAATATTTTGCTTTTTTTTCCCCTGTACATCATATTTCATGTTAGGCTCCAGAAAAGATTTTGGAAGTCAGCATATTAAATAGAGACCCACACGACCTGAAAATATCTGTGTCATCAACACTTCTTTCTGTAGCAAAGATGAAACATTAACATTTAGTCTTATTTTTCATTTTGAATGGCAAAAGGGATGATGCTGGTTGGAGAAGGGGGCCAGCTGAGGAAACATCTAGCTGGAGGGATTCAAGTCGTCGTGAAGAATGGGACAGAGGTGGCCGTGACATGAGAGATCGCCGCGCTGATGACAGAGAACCACCGCTCAGAAGAGGACCGCCCCTCAGATCTGAGCGTGAAGAACGTATGTTTGTTTTGTGTTCCTAAAGGCTTGCAATTATTACAGGTCCTCCACATTACCCTGGCAGCATTTGGCAGTGATTCTTTTCAGCCACTTAAACACCCTGTATGTAACAACATAATACAAAGCAGCAGTAGTGTAATTGAAACATTTTCCGTTGAATCTTGTTTTTAGTTGTACTCTTTTCTATCATAGTAGCAATTCAGATCTGCAGTAGAAGGATAACATTTTAAGTCTGCAGTTATTGCTGTCGCATTACATTTGAGGTGAATGAAAGTTTTTTTATAGTTCAATCATCAAGAGAGGTGTTCCAGAAAGAAATTTCTGGCTCATTTCTCAAAACTGAGAGAAATATTTGCAAATAAGGCCTTATGGGTTTCACACTATCAGTGATATTTATTTTTTATGAATAACCTACTTTAAATATGTACGTTAATGACTTTTAATTATGTACATTCATTTATACTTTGCTGTCTCCTATAAAAACCAGTAACAACAAAGACATTTAGCCTGAGATACCACATCTTGCCATTCTGGAGTTCTCATGTTCAGAATTTCATTTGGTTTCTGCCCTGAGCATTGGTGCTCCCTGATTGTGGGTGCTGTCATGCAGCTGATCTCAGAGCAAACTGGAACAGAACACACCTTACAGGACTGCAGCTAGCAGAAAGGTTAAGGGTTCCCAGTGTGGGGAGATATATACATTATATATATGTGTGTGTGTGTGTTATAAAATAACATCAAGAACTACTTTATTATTTGACCATCTGGTTTGGTATTTGACACTGTTTTGTTCATAGTTGGGGTATAATTCTTAAGCTCCTTTTGATGGAAATGAACAATTCTTCATATAGTGAAGAATGCTGAAGATTAGTATCAGGGGAGCTGTGTAATCCAGTGTCACATCTGACTTCAGTAGTCCTGAACAGCAAAGGGCTGTTGGGACGTAGAACACCTAAATATTTTTCAGTTGTTTCTAAAGAGATGCTTTTGTGCTTTTAATTCTGATAATATAAGGATGTATTTTACATTGTAAAACCATGTACATCACTAGAACATTCTTATTGCAGTTACTTTGTTTTAAAAATGACACTTCACTTGCTGACAGCAATCATAAATCTCTAAGAGGACTGTCCATTACTTCATTATAAAATTAAGTTGTGCATTTGGCTGTCATCTTCATATTAGCTCTTGGCAAGATTGAGAATCAGTAAATCAGACTGTCGGTGCTAGGCTTGTTTGTTTAAACTCTTGCAGGCTGCTGGTTGAACATGACAAAAGGTGGTTTTAATGTCTTCTGTGTTTCTAGCAAGCTCATGGCGGCGTGCTGATGATAGGAGAGAAGAACGTGGGGAAGAACGTGAAACAGTTCGGCGTTCAGCTCCTGCCCCTGCTGCTCCTCCAGCTTCTGCTCCCCCGTCAGCATCAAAAGATCGAGAAAGAGATGGGGAGAAGGAGAAGGGATCCTGGAAAACAGAAAAGGAGCGTGAGCCTGTTCGTCGTACTAAAAATGAGACAGATGAAGAAGGGTGGACCACTGTACGACGCTAAGTGAATATCAAAACAGTTTAACCAATGTTTTAGCTATGATTTGATCGAATCCACAGATTATATTTGTGCTTATAAACATTCTGAATGGGAATTCTTTAACAAATGTTTTGAGATAACACGAAAGCATGAGCTTGAATTACTTACTCATATAGATTGATCATGCACAAAACTCACAGCAGAAGGTTGGAAATTGAATGCCAGTTTTCGAAATTTCAAATGATGCTTACTTCATGGATCATTTGTTGCTACAATAAAAAGAAGTAGGCTGCCTTGAGTAATGCCTCTATTTCACACCAAAACAAGCTGACCTTCATATTTTTAGTCTGTCTTCATTTAGAATGGGGTATTATCACTGAACGTGGTTTTGAAAGCACCTCGATTCACACAGTGGAATTAGGGGAAAAGCAGAGCTGGATCAATTTCCATAATTTGCCAAAAAAGGAAAAAGGAAAAAAAAATACATAACCCCCTCCCCCCCTCTTTTTACAATCTTTGAGGGCAGGCAGTTTGGGAGACATTTTATCATCTAAATTCAGTAAGTTGTTTAAATTTGAATTAAACACAACAAACATTATGAGCATTAGCTACACTGGGATCTTTTCTGTAGATTTACTTGAATACATGAAGCCTACGAAGCCATGTTGCAGTCATTTTTCCAGTAATGTATACTGCTGCAGTGTGCAGACACAAAACTCCAAGCTTTTACAATTTAAGTGTTTTGGTAAGCATATTGCTATGTATTTTCTGTTGCAATAGCACAACTGCTTTTCCATTACTGGATAATTCATGCCTTTCAAGGATTTATAAATATTGTCATATTTAAAATGTGTGGTTTTGGACAAGTTGTTGAATTTTTCCCCAATTCTTTGTCTTCAGGGTAAATTCTTTCCCTTTCCAAAAGAAGTGATTTGTAGTAATGGCTGTGTTGACTTTGATTTTGGGATGCAGAATAACAATTAACTATCTGGTCGTACTGAAGCCAACACAGAACTTGCTGCTGTGTGTTTCTTCAATGATAAATAAACAACTTATGGAATTAGCTTCTACAGTGTCTTTTTGATAGCTTCCTGCAGTGTACTTTCATGTAGAACAGCTGTTAGTGGGTTTTTTGGTATGCACACCTGTTTCTGTCCTGTCTGAATGAAAATCTCAGAACACTTAGGCTAATTTCTCCCTGAGTTAAAGCTTGTTTAATTTTACTGTGTGTGAACAACAGTTGTAATGCTTTTCTTCTTGTCCTTCTCCTGCCCTTTTCTGAGCTTTCTAGGTCTTATTCATTTCTAAGGAAAACTTTGCTCTTAAGCCATCCAACCTGGGGGCCAGGTTATCATGCCTTTGGGAGCTTGTCACTTCATTTTACCAAGTTCCAGGATACTTCATAGTTACAGTGTTTTCTGAACAAAAATCAGTGATTGTATGCTCCCACAAAGGATGGCACTAGAGAATGGCATCCACTCCACCTCCTGTATTTGAGTACAGGCCTTGGCTGCCCTTCAGGCACCTGTTGCCATACCTACATTATTTGCTGTCAGATGATCACAATAGTGTGTGCTAAATGCTCTGGCCTCGCTCCTTACTGTCAAATCAGACTGTGTTACTCTGAACCACACTTAACCAGGCTGGTCTTGAAAAGCTCCAAGGAATGCTTGATTGCTCACACAGTAAAATAGCTTAAATATCTTTTCAGCCTCTACCTGTTGTCTCTCATCTTGCTGTCCACACAGTGCTGTAAAAAGCCTGGCTTAATAACTGCCTTGGGGTACTGGCTGGTAGGATTCCCCCAAACTTTCCCTGCTCCAGTCTAAGCCAGCCTTGCCTCCTCCAGTCTTGTTGGTGCTCTGCTGAATTACTTCCAGTTTGGCACAATCTTCCCCATACTGGAGGCAAACTGGTGGCAGTAGTCAAGGTGAGGTCTCATGAGTCCTGAGTAGAGGGGAGACACTCCTCTAACCTGTCAGAAGAACCCATGGCTCTTGGGTTCTCTAACATTCTATCCAGGGTACAAGGATAAGGTGACATCACCTGGACTGTAGTTTCTCAAACGGTCTTCCTGGCCTTTTTTGAACATTAGTGCCACATTTTTTTCCAGTCATCAGACAGTTATGAAGAGTGACTATACCTTCAGTTATGTATTTAAAATTTTATCTGTACAGCCACGTTTACGTGGGGATAAATGGAGCTAACAGCCACTGCACCAAATGAAACTGTTCCAGAGTTTGTATTCCTAACATCCTAAATGGAAGTTGCTATATATGTTGGCAACATCATTCAGTGCTCAGGACCAGGCAGCATGACAGATGGCTGAAAGATGTGAGCTACACAGACATGTCCATGTATTAATTTCACTGCTTGATCTTTTTAGATAACTGCAGTGGTCAGACATTTCATCTGACCAAATCCAACATCTAAAACCTGCACCTACTGCCAGCAGGGGCTGTCAGCCCCTGCAGTAAGGGGGGAATTCAGCTGGGGAGCTGCTGGGATAGAGACCTTTTGTTCTCTCTATAGTAGTAAAGGACCACAGTAATAAATAAAACAGTAAGTTTTCTTTATGCAAATAAAGTGTAATTTTGGTAAACCCACAAAGTAAAGTTAGGCCATCAGTGAAATTCAGATTAAAAACCCACCTGTTACTCAGCCATGAGTCCCCACACCATGCAGTTTGTTACAGAACTGAAGGACACACATATGCTAGTGGCATAACAAGCACTCAGTTCTCCCCATTTTGCCATGCCAGGAACAGCTGTGACTGAAAGGCACCACACTTGCCTGACTTGAGCAGAAGTGAATTATCAACACATCTGAAAGGAATTTTCCATCAGGAGGAGTCTGCTTTTTGCCCAGACTAACACCACTAAGGGTGATGATAGGCTACCTGGTACTCAGTCCATTCCTCAGAGTATCACTGTGGAAGATTCCACTGCTGATAGAACTAGGAATGTTTCCCTGAAATCAAGTGGTTTTCTGAAGGCAAAGTGCTTGTTTCAAACCAGTAGCCATACATCTTTAGATCTGCAACTGCATGCAGAATAAATGACAATAGCATCAGGCTCGACAAGACACCTTCTATGGAGCATGGAATAGCTTCCAACGTGGGCTGCTGGCAGATGAAGGCACATGCTGTCCCTAGGAGTTAAGGTTACTACCATAAGCTGTTTCAGTCTATGTAAGCAGCACCTACCACAACAGGCTTAAGTGACCATGAGCAGGTGTGTCTGCCTGCTCAGTGCTGCAGAGTGTGCTGGTGTGCAGGAAATGGCTCTGGGACCTCAGTCTGTAGGTTGGCTCCCCTCCCACCCACAGCTGCTTTCTCCAACCACTGCTGCTGCCTTACCTGCTGGAGCCCGACTCCCAGGCCTGATGCCACGCAGTGCAGGTACACACAGAGAGCAGGAGGACTCTGGGCACACACAGCAGGAGCCACCATCAAAAGAACAGCTTTCTTCTCACCCAGATGGAGGGCAGGGACAGGTGCTGCACAAGGACAGGGCTGGCATCCAAGGCAAGGAGACGTTCTGATGTCTTGTCAAGCTCCCAGGCGGTGCAGTGGGGCAGTTGCTATAGAGTAGCTTAATCTACAGATCAGGGGAGGCAGGTGTATGGCAGCCCTCTTGGAATGTCCCCTCAGAAAGCATCTGAGATCTTTTCCTTACATCTTTCTTGCTTTTGTGTCCATAAACAGTCAACTGAATTGAAACACATGTACTCATCTTCAACATTCCCACAAGAAGCTAACAAAGAGACAGATTTTTTTTTTTCCACAGTATTACACTGGAGCTCAATCCCAATCTGCGGTGCAGACAGACATCATAAAATCAAACACTTAAATTCTACCAGCTGAAAACCTGCAGGGCAAGCCTTGTGGAAGGAGAGTCAGCACACAGCTGGTACCATCACAACCAACAGGCAGCTCCATACAACCAGCTGTAGCCACAGCAAGGTGTTATTTAATGCAAGTCCATTTACATTTGCTAATTAGACCTAATGCCATTGCTGGAGCAATTTGATGAAGCCTGAATAGAACATTTCCATCCACAACCCTATTCTCAGCTGCAGTTTTGAATAGTGACCCCTGGGCCCAACCCTGCCCATCCTACTTCCTTGTTTCAATCTCCCACCCTGCCAAGTAGCTCCCCAGAAGGAACTCACACTGATGACTGTCACTTCTCACTTGCCCAGCTCCCCTTCCCATCAGGACCCGGTGACTTTCTCACCCTCCAGATGAATCTGGGTACAGCCATCTACAGCAGAACCTTTCTGCACAGCCCTCCTGGCTCCAGAGGGCTCCGAAGAGACCCACAGATCTGCTGCTGCTGCTCCTTCTCCTGCCTCAAGTTGCAATAAAAACAAATTCCCCACCTCTCGGGATCGACGCAGCCCCGTGGCGGCTCTCAGCATTTCCCGGAGCTGCGTCCCGTGTCCGGTATACGTGAAAGCTACTTGGTAACCGCACAGATGGATCCCCCTCCCCGCATCCAATCCTCCGCCGCACTCTTCAGCCTTACAAACGCATCACCCTCCTTTCGTCAGTTCCGCACAGTGCTCTGAATCTCCTCAGAAGCCCACAAACACACCAGGGTCCGCTCCGTGCCCCTACAGAAGGGCTCACCGCGCAACCCCCGCCAGTCCCTCGCCGCTCCCACCTCCCAGCCTCAAAGCCGTGCGTTACGCACAGGGAGCCGGGCGGCACCGTCCCGTTCCTCCCCTTCCCCATTTAGCCGAGGGGCTGCCGGCCACCGAGAGAGAAACCCGAACGGTTCCAAGACGGACGAGGGAGCGGCTCAGAGCCCTTCAGTCCCCGCCGGGCAGCGGGCGGCCGTTCCCCCGGGCCGGGCGAGCAGCGGGGAGGGACACCGCCCGCCCCGAGCGCCGCCCCCGTCGGAACTCGCGGTGAATCCCGTTTTCTTAAAAACCACATATATATATATTTCTTACAAGAAACACGTACAGGGCGTCCCGGCCGCGCCGAAGCCGCCCGCCAGTCCCCGCGCGCCCCGCTCCTAGCGGGCTTTCTTGCCCAGCGCGGTCCGGGCGTGCCGGAGCTGTTTGGCCGCCTGCATTTTGGACAGCGGGCAGTACTTGATGGTGTGGGCATTGTCCCCGCTGGCGCCGCACAGGGGACAGGTGTAGCGGCGCAGCACCGGGCACAGCACGCGGCCGTCGGGTCCCTTCAGGATGTGCGTGGTGTACAGAGCCACCGCCTCCTTGTTGTTCCGGCAGAAGACGCACACCTGCAGCTCGGGCTTCAGCAGGCGGCCCGCGGCTCGCGGGTGCGAGGGCAGCCGACCCGCCGCCACCACCACGCCCGCGCCCCACGCGTGAGCCGAGCCGTCCCGGCCCGCGTGCTCCCCCGAGCAGTCGAACAGCACCGCGGCGGGGCCGCCGCGCCCGGGGAAGGGGCTGAAGTCGGCGAATCGCTCCTCCAGCAGCCCGTCGCCGTGGTGGTGGTGGTGGTGCCCGCACAGCTCCAGCTCGTGCAAGTCCAGCGCGCCCTCGAAGTACGGCCCCGCCGCCTCTTCCTCCTCCTCCTCCTCTTCTTCCTCCTCCTCTTCGGCCGCCGCCACCACCACGGCGGGCGGCTCGGCGCCGAAGCCCTTGCCGGGGCGCACGGCCTTGGTGATGAGCGTGGCCAGCCCCAGGTAATCGTTCCACGAGTTGAAGACGTTCCCGTAGGCGCTGTGGCTCCGGCCGCCGTAGCGGGCGCCCGGCAGGCGCTCTACGGGCGGGAGGTGCCGGTGCGGCTCCAGCTTGCTGCCGGGGAAAGCCTCCATGGAGGGCGCCGTCCGGGAGCGCCCGCCCGCGCCCTCCACCGCGCGCCGGACCGCGGCACCGCCGCAACTCCGCTCCCAGCGCCGCCCCCGCTTTCTTCGGGAGCGCGCGGCTGCGCGACGCCCTTTAAATAGGGGCGGCGGCGGGAACGGAGGGAGGGGGGGCGCCCGCCGCTCTCTCATTGGCCGTCGGCCAGAGACCCCTCCCGCTCATTGGCTGGTGGGAGGCGGGGAGGGGCGTGGCCAGAGAAGGGGCAGCGAGGCGTGCGCGGCGGCGCAGGTGGCGAGGCACGTGCGCGGGGGGCGGGGTGGGGTGTCCCGGGGGGGTCATTGTTTAAAAAGCTGTTGTTAGTACCCCAAAACATCCCTAGTACTGAAAACTATCGTTAGTATCCAAAAAAATTACCCCCAAACTTTTGTTAGTACCCCTGAAGCTTTCAATATCCCAAATGGCATTAATAGTACCCCCCAAAAGTAGTGTTAGTACCTAAAAAACTGTTGGTTGTGTCCAAAAAGACATTGCTAGTGCCAAAGTAACTATTTGAGCACCCAAAAAGCTGCTGGGGATGATTTAGTGTCAGCACGGCTGATGTACATGGTATGTGGCATCCAATCTGGCAGTGGGTACTGTCAGTCCTTTCCCCAGTGCAGAACTACAGCGTGGTTTGGGTTAGAAGGAGCTCAAAGCCCACGCAGCCCCAACGCCTGCTGCAGGCTGGGTGTCCCCCTCAGATCAGCTGCCCACTGCCCACTCAACCTGGCCTTGAGCACCTCCAGGGTTGGGATATCCACAGCTCTCTGGGCAGCCTGTGCCAAAGCCTCACCGCCCTCTGAGTAGAGAATTACCTCCAACCTAAACTTCCCCTCTCTTAGCTTGAAACACGTGGGGTGTTTCTGCTCCCCCTCTTTGCACGCATCTGGCAAGATCTGGCTCCAAATCTGGGCTCTGTCATTTGGGCTCTGAGTGAGATGGAGAGTCCAAGTAGCAAGTGATCATGTAGGCAAAGCGCACACTGCAGCAGAAAGTTACACAGACAGCCTAAGAACAGCTCTGCATTTGACTTCCCAGCAGAATGGCTTCCTTTTCCTTATCTCCAGCAGATCATTTTACAGCAGCTGCTGTGTTCTGTGTTGGCTGTGGGTGGTTACAGCGGCAGGATTGCACTTCTCACCCTTTCTTCAGTCCTTCAACAAGCACAAAATAGGCTATGGAGGAGCCAGAAGGGGCTGAAGGCAGGAGGAGAGCTGGGTCTCATCCTTTTGGGCTCTGCAGAGCTGGCTGCTCCCAGCACAGCAACAGGGGATCACACTCAATGGACTTTTGGGGACTGATATGCAGTAGGAGCTGCTGGCTCTTCTGTACTCTTTCACTGAATTTAAAGAATGCAGAGTCCCAGACCACCAGCTGGGGTGGTGACCCAGACTGTTGCAGGACACAAATCCAAGCCAAATCAAGTGTTTGTCAGCAGAAGCATATTTTTCCTGAGGATATAGTACCTCACTTTTGTGTCTCGTGGAGAAGAATGTCAAAGGAGCCTGAAAAAATTATGTGTACAATTGATGAGGAGATCAGTTTTTATGAAAACCCAGCAGGTGCCTGGGTCTCACTACTGTGGGCTGTGGGTTTGGGCTGCTGCTGGTGCCCAGCGTCAGGGCTGCTTCTCACCTCTCACCCTCACCTCAGGGTAGTGATGAATGTGGGCAAACACACCTGTATGTGCGTGCAGCTGACAGCCTCACCTGCAGTTTTTCTCAGAGTTGGCAGATTCTGACAGATTTCAGAGGGCTGCAGGATTTTTGAAGCACAGAGATGTGATGGTGCCTTGTGACACAGGGTAAAATCCTTTTTGGTCAGTATCAGTGATGAAAATCCTGCTTGCTTAGGGAGGGAGGCCAACAGCCTCTGCACTGCCGGCACCACCTGCACTTTGCTGCTCCTGTGCGAGGTCATGGATGTCAGAGGCAGATAGGAGAAAGCAGAGCTTTTCAGTTTTGGAAAGGTCTTTGGCTTCATTAAGAAGAGTATTTCAAATAAATTTTTGGCTAGACGCTCTACATTCCTCTGTGTATTCTGCCTCTCCAAAAATGACTGCTCCAGGATACGCTTCAGAGGGCTCAGTGCTCACATGAGGATTTATTGCTCTGAGTTTCTGAATTGGTTCTGAGCCTGAATTAGCAAATGATAGTGCATATTTCTAATAGCAGCAAGGATTCCGGCAGAATTTCTGAGCTCTGCCTGCCTGATTAAATCCACCGAGGGCTCCTGCTAAGCTCCGAGGCAGAGCAGCCATGCCAAAGGCTGTAGGATGACTGCAGATTCAGTTCTGAAGGCTGTTTTATTGTGTGAAGGGTTACCAGCAGAAGACTTATGTATGAGCTGATCCAAATGAGTGTCATATACACACTCAGTATAGTAGATAAATTCCTGATAGATTAATTTCACACGGTGAGGATAACAGTATTTCTCCTGACAACTTGATTAGATCTGTAAGAGAACTCCTGGTGAAAAAAAAGGCATTTTGTTTTTTGTCAAGATGATAAGTACGATTTAACTGTGAGAGAAAAGCAACCAAAAAATCAGGCTTTCAGTGCTCTTGTCTTCTGTTTTGTTGTTTTGTAAAAGCAGTAATCAGAGGGTTTCCCATTGTTTCAAATGCCCGGATGTTCTTGTTTTCTTCATCTGAGAGTGATGTGTTTTGTGAAGTAGCTTTGTTACTTATTATATACATTAACTACATGGTCGAGACCGGATGGCCTTTAAGTGTCAGTTACAACTCAAATGATTCTATGATTCCATGATATAATTGCCCTAGACAATTGCTCTTCACTCAGTTCAGCATAGACAAACCAAAAAGTTGGGCACCCCTGGTCTAAATATTTTGTAATTCTGATATTTGTGGGATTTTGGTCTTCACGGTACTCATGGAAAACTCCAAGACCTAAGATTTTGGGGAAAGGAGGCCTAGAGAAGCTGTGGATGTCCCACACCTGGAAGCACTCAAAGCCATGTTGGATGAGACCCTGGGCAGCCTGGTCTGATGGGGTGCAACCAGCCCACGACAGTGGGTTGGAAGTGAACATTAAGGTCACTTCCAATCTAAGCCATTCTGTGATTCTATGATTCTGTGGGACAAGCGAGGTGCCTGGTGAGGTGGGGACCTCCTTCATGCACGTCTGTGTGCACAGAGGGGTGTCTGGGGCTGCAATTCATACTCAGGCACTTCACATCTCCCAGGAGCTTCTGTTGGGTTTCCAAATTCTTGTGCTCCTGTAGCTCACAAATCCCATTTGGAGTCTGACCCTGACAGCACACTTCATTTGTGTTCTCAGTAAGAACCATTTTGTTCAAGCCTTAGGGTGCTTTTGATTTTTTTTCTTCCTGAAGGGATAAACCACTAATTATACATGGAAACTGTACCTCAAAGATACATTTTAATAATATAATTGTAGTAGCAAAGTAACCAGTATGATTATGTGCATCGTTGCACTTTTCTGCCATTAACCAGCTTTTCTTGGTTAATGAAGTTAGTAAAACCTAGAATGTGCTTTGCTGGAATATATCCAGTGGAATCTTATTATCACCTACAAGCCTTTATAATTGGGATGATAATGTGCAAAGCATTATATTGCTGATAAATGAGATACGATTAAGAGAGGGCAAAGTTCTGCTCTCGGACACACATGACAGGTCCTGAGGCTTTGGTGCGTGTTAGTGGAGTGCCTGCAGCCCTATGTCCACCTTGGGGTTGCAGAAGAGGTGCTCTTGGAGCAAGGCCAGCAGCAACACTCATTGAGAGCTGTGACCCCTCAGGAGAGGTGCAAAGAACTGATGCTGTCAAGGCAGGAGGAGGCTGCAGTGAGGCATGAAAATGGTCTTAAATGCCTACAAAGAAGGATATAATCTGTCCTGCATGATCCTGTTGGATAGGACATAGAGGAATGGGTTTAGAGCACTCTGAAAGTGGTTTACATTGGGTATTATGGAAACACAGGAAGGAGAATAAAGGACTAGATCAGACTGCTTGGACCAAGGTGTGTCAAAAGGGTCTCTACCTTTGGCAGCAGAGGCTGAAGGTGGTGAGCTAATAGTGACGTGCTGAGTGTTGTAGGTGGCTGTGATTCCAGGAGCCGAATGGCTGCTGCCTCTGCAAGGACGTTCGGGTTCAGGGCATGTGCAGGTGAGAAGCTATCAGCACAGAGACCAGAAATATACCCCGTGCTTGCACAAGCGGAGATCAGATCTGCCAGGCATCTGTGGTCAGGATTGCATTTACACCCCTTATCTGCTTGGAAAAATTGTCAGAACTGCCAGTACAAGGAACAGAGGCATATAACAGTCACAAAAGCAAAACAGAGCACTATTTTGTTGGATGGTATAGGTCACAAGGTTTCTTCTTTTTGTATTTGTTTAGTTTCCAGTACATATTTTTAGGAAAAAAAAAATGATCCAAACATCATTCAGAAGGATCTTTAATGAAGAATCAATCTGTTTGCTCCAGCTCTGGCTTTGGGAATAAACTCATTATTTGCACAGTTGAACATCTGCCCCATCTTTCCAATCAGATCTTGTCTATTTTCAGCATTAGGGTTGTCCTATGTTAACTGAGGACTCTGATCTCAATATTGCATTCTTCCTGTAAGCACCAGTAGTCTTTGACCAAATCATCCCTTAACCTCCTTTCTTTGTAAGATAAATAGATTGAGCTTCTGGATCTGTAATAGCTGTTTTCCCATCCTTCACATTCTGAACTCTCTGACAATTACCAACATCCTTTATGAATGGGAGGCTTTAGCATTAACACAGCCCTCCAGCATGAATGGCACCAGGCATGCCAGGAGCACAGGTATATCTGAGTGTTTTGCTATGGTGCTATGCTCAAATACTGTGTGTGACTGAATAAGAGAATGAAAATAGGTTCAGACCAAAGATACATCTGGCTTGGCATCTTGTTTCTGACAGGAGCTTGTAGTGGGTGGATACTGAAGTGTGATATTTCCCTTCAAAGGCCTCTCCTTATCGGTTGCCAACTTTAAAAAATAAAGACACAAACTGAAATTCCATGCAAAGGTTCTGGTATTTACATATTTCTTGTGTCTTAATGGTGTCTTATGCCCGTAGTTTTTCAGCATTTGTATTTGCCCACGGTGTTAAACTGTGAACCAGAAGATCCGTATCTCTGGTAAGGTTCTGGGAAAGGATATCTTTAGCTCTCTCTGAGGCCCTGAAAGGTAGGATGAGAACCATGCCAGGCATGTCCCTGCTCCCTGGGAAGGCAGTTCAGCAGCAGGATGGCTCAGCAGAGGCTGCCCCATATCCCAAAAAGACCATGGAAGGGTATGCGGGTCCTTACCAGGCAGCGTTAATACAGCATCCTTAACCCTGGTTCTGCATTTGTGGTGGGCATGCTTGTGCCTGGCTTATCAGTTTGGCTATACCATCAACAATTCCCAGAACACAGCCCTGCCTTTTTCACATGGGGCTGGGCAGCTCAATGCAGCTGCACCAAAACAGGCACTGCAGGTCCCATGGCAGCGACAAACACTCTTCCTTGGTTATCGCTCAGCGCTGTGTCATCTGCAACTTCAGTAAGCATGGTTTCATGTTTTCTTCCAGTAAAGATGTTACAGCGTTGAGCTGAGAATCACCATGGAGCATCTTGGAAACTACAGAGTGATGATTCCTTGTTTATAGTTGTAATTTGAGATCAGCTGGTTTTCAGGTTACCTGGGATGTACCAGGTTAGCTTTACACTGCTCTAGTTTCTCAGTTGGTGAAACATACTAGCCTCAGTGCCTTTTAGCATTTTGTTGTGTTGATGTTAGATCAGATGTCATTGCACTTCATCATCTCGCAGTTAAAGGACAATACACTGATTTAGTAGGACGTGCTTTCCATAAACACACACCTGGTGTTTATGCACTGCTGTCTTACCACAGCTGCTGGGCTGCTGGGAAGAAGTCTGAGTGGGTGTTTCAATAGAAGATTACCTAAAATAAGTTATAATCCAGTTCCAGAGATTTTTTCTTTGTATGAAACTTTCAAGGGCAAAAACCAAGATTTCCAAAGGTGCAGTCAGTGCTAGACAGAGAAGTAACTATGTTTGAGTTTCAAGACTTTATTGGTATATCAAAAACCAAAGACACTCTTGGTGGTGGTGGACAAGACTGGTGATGAGGAAATGAATTTGTCTGCTGTGGAAAGAGGTGAGGAAAAGCCATTGCTTTAAGGCATTGAGAGTAAAAGCAGAGCCAGGAAAGGCCAGTGAGAGCATAGAGATGACACACAGAAAAAGACTAATTTAAAAATGTTTAAATGCTGTTTCCTGAACAGGCAGAAAAATTGATGTTATAGGCCAATTTTCAGATGAAAATGCATATGCACAAATGCAAATGCACATCTCAAGTGTGCCCTCGGATTCAAAAGTCAAGTTCATGAAATTCTGATACCACTGAAAGTAATAGAAAAACTCCTGCTAACTTCATCTTTATTTATTATAATCATTTGCCATTTATTATAATCATATCATTAAGGTAATTGAGACATTAAGTGCAGTGCTGACAATGTGTTTCACTTTTTTGTCTCACTATGCTAGTTTAAGAGGTGAAAATGACAAAACCATAATCATAACTTTGCACTGTGGAAGAATGAGTGCCATACATGCTTCTGGTATTTTCTCTGGTATAAGGAAGAGAAGAGGGAGGCTCCCAGGGTGTGGGCTCTCTCTTGGCATTATATTGCTCCCTTCCCTTCCCTTCCCTTCCCTTCCCTTCCCTTCCCTTCCCTTCCCTTCCCTTCCCTTCCCTTCCCTTCCCTTCCCTTTCCTTTTTGTATAAATGTCTATGTGTTACTGTTTTTCCAGTAATTTCACAGTTCTTGACATCTAAAATTTTGTTCCTAAAAGCATCTGAGGAAAGCATAAAATACTTGTCCACTGGTATGTTTAGTTGTGGGAAGATTCCTCTGCCCTGCAGACTTCTGGAGGTGTCACCTTGATTTGGCAGCTGTCTTGGTACCAAATAATTACAGCTTCTGAGAATAACATGAACGCTCTTCCATCAGAAAAAGAAGAGAATGTGAATAGACACAATTGTTTCCAAAGATAATAAGCAACTTTCCTCTAAATTTAATACCTATAACATTGTAAAAATTGAAACCAACAGCTACTGAAAGCTAATATCATTGAAACTAATTTTATTCAAGGTTATAAAATAACAACGATAATAAAAAATGAACAGCATAGAGATTTGGTTGAATTTTTCTTTAAATTTACAGTGCTCTTGAGAACCTACGTACATATTAAATCTGTACTGTAACATAACTGTATCCCTTCGAAAACAATAGACTTGTAAGCTTTTGCTGAAATTGAAGTGTTTAATACACCTGGCATTCATCAGCATTTGAACAATGGTTTTAAAACGTTATGGTTAGTTGAAAATGCTTAGTGTAGTTTCAGCAGCCGTAGCTGTCAGAGCTGTAGAGATGGAGTCTCATCCGTCTTGAAATATAACATTTTAATGTGTTCATTTCAACATTTCCGATATTGCCCAGAAACTGAGAAATTTAAAAAAATCTTGCTGTTTTCTACTAAGACGTGCAACCAACTCCAGAGATGGTGGGCTGTTCCTCATGAACACGTCAACACGCACAACATGTACTCACTGGTACAGAACCCAGATGGTTTTAGATAGACAGTCACTTTGATTGTGGCCATCATTTAGGTGTGGAGCAATGCTAGTGAGATGAGAAAGTCTGCAAGAGGGAGAATGAGAATTAGAGAGGTTCCACTCAGCAGGAAACAAAAAGTGAAATGAAACCTCTACTAAGAGTGTCTAGAGTTGTTTATTATTAAAGGAGTTTTACCAACTGCCAGGAACCCTTATTCTCACCATTACCTGTGGACCTGCAGTTGTTTTGTCACTGCAGCTTTCATGACACTGGGCAAAGTGTCATGACACTGGGATGGAAACATGCTCCATGTGCTTTCAAATATAATAATAATACATGAGGGTCTCAGTTTTGATAGAACGAAGCAACTCCTGTGATTGCAGTTATGGAGGCTTTCACTTATACTAAACCAGTTTTGCTGGTGAGACCAAAGGACAGCTGCTGATATTTTAATATGTGAAGAATCTGCGTAAATTCCAGAACTAAACAGCAGTCTGTGCAGGATTGTATAGGAGGTGGTTGTTTTCCTCTGCACCTGAATCTTTGAGTGTTTATTAAGTACTGCCTGAACTGTCATCTTAGGGCAGGTTTTGTACCCTGCAGTGTCTGTGCTGCAGAGAGCTGCATCTACTGGTATGTCTACTTGAATGAGATTGTATGCTTCATAAAATAGTCTTCACACTAAGAGAACATATTGTGGGCTAGACTTTTTGCATGTTTAATATGGACATTTTTGTGTGACTTTTTTAATGTCTTTGGAAAACAGCAGTGGTATTTTCCTGGATGTGTTCCTGTTGCTTTCCTTTGCTGATTGCTAACATGCTAGGAGGAGATCAGGCATATTTTTATCTTATTGTAACAAAATGAGTTCCATGGAAACGGCAGCAGGGGAAGCCTGCTGAGCAGCTGGAGGTCAGAAATCAGCCCACATTTAGAAATGAAGAAAGGCAGCATGGTGGGGCATGGCTGCCTGCATTCACTGCTCCAGGGCTGGTCACTTCAACCTGCAGCAGGCTGGCTTAAGGCAAACTTTCTGCAAATTATGACATTCAGTTATGGCAGCTGTAGACTGTCACATAGGCTGGATGTGTGGCTACGGTGAAAGATCTGGGGTTGTCACCACGGGGTGACCACAAGCCCTGTACACAACTGTCACCCAGTGGAAAGCCTGTTTTTTCATGTCAGTGTATCATGTTTGTTGCAAAAACCCACTCATGGCACCTAGCAGGGCTGATCTGGAGTCCTAGAGAAATTTGTTAGAACAGGAGTGTGAAATAGGAAGGTATGGGTTGGCTTCCCCTCACCCTACAGAGCACCGGGGTGCTGTGGGGCAGCGGGTGCATCCCCAGCTGCAGGCCGCGCTCATCGTTTCCATGGCAACGCAAGATGGCAGGTCTGCCCTGCTCCTCACAGTGCAAAATGCCGGGTTTTGTCCATCGGCTGAAGGCAGCAATCCTGCCCTAGTGACAAAAGTGAACAAATTATTTAGGACACTCAGGAGAAAAAGCCACTTGATAGTGTTTTATCTGCTTATCATCTGGGGTGATCTCTTCACCACGGTGAGGGAAAGAGGTAAGAATAAACTAACTCCACCACACTCCAGCCACCATCTTCTCCTTAGCCTGATTGCTTTATTGCCTTTACCAATTTCTAGTTAGCTTCTCACTTTGTCTTCTTGTTTATTTGTGACTTTCTCCTGGCAGCAGTGGAGAGAAAATCTTATTTCATTGTTGCTGGTTTTTTTTTTTTTTTTCAGTGGCAAATCTGATAAAGGTGACACAAACTGTCAGGAGAATTGGTGGCATCGAGGGAGGCCTGGTGCTAATCATCCAACTGGAGTGGAAGAGTTTGCAGGCTCTCTGTTGTGAGGAAATCTGTGCAGCTGTGGTTCAGCATCTGTAGTGTAAGTGCAGTGCCCTGTAAGTGCAGTGCCCTATATATGTGCAGATCATGAGAGAAAATTGGAAGAAGACACTTTTCCCATTGTATTGGTATGCAAGCATCTCAGACTCTCCAATATATTTCTTCCTCATGCTTAAAGGGTCAAAGACATGCATACATGTCCAGTAGAAAGCCTGTGGGAGGGAGGAATTAAAACCTGGCCTCATCTGCTCAACCTTGGGTTAAGTCCCTGGAGCATAGGGACTTTCTGCCTCCTCCCAAGGCTGTAATTTCATTCTCATTTTGATCATGCAAGATAATAACCTCGCTGGACACTCACATGTTAAGATGGGATTTGTCAAGATTGAGGTTAGAGCTGGTTGTTTTATATGGAGCAGAACTGTCAACAAACTTTATTGAAGAGGAGGGTGTAGATGTATAGCGTAAATGTTCAGCACCAAGGTGACAATGCAGAGATGCTTGGGTAGGCAGCTTGAGGTGGATGCAGGCTGGCAGTGGCACCTTGGCAGGGAGCAGTGATCCTCAGACTAGGGAAGATTCAAAGGAGAGATGGTGAGGAGTAGGTTACATTAGACTCAGCAACTGGTTTCCAAGGGGGGATCCATGCTCCTCTGGGCATTGTGGCCTGATTTCATAGCCTTTTGTTCAAATTTAGCATCCAGCTGAGAGGCATAGTATCTTTGAGCAGAGATGCTCTAGTGCGAGAAGTAATGTTTGCCACACTCTGGTGAGAAGTGCAGACTACTTGGGTATATTTCTATGTATCAGGTGTGTTAGGGCTTAAACCAAAGCCCACAGAAATAAACAGAACTCCCACTTATTCCATTGGCTGTGGCATTTCCTATATGGAAAACATTTTCTAGCTGTTGAAGCCTCCTAGGAATTCCCACAGCCCCCAGGCATATGCCTGTTTTTAACCTACGTACAGTGTTGCAGTGGTGAGGGCTGAGTCTCGCTCTTCTCAGCTCCTTCCCCGTTATGCCCAGAGTCCCAATGAGCCAGTGTGAACCACAGAAAGACTGAAAGGACATTGCCTCATCCATCCCTGGCCCCAAGCAGGGGCAGCTTGAGCAGGCTGCTCAGGAGCGAAGAGTCTTTTGCTCCTCTGTGCAGGATACCAGTGTTCAGTAGGCAGTGCAGAGAGTGCCTGTCCCTTGGGCTCTGTGTGGGTGCAGTATGCTTATTGACAGCATCCCACACTATCCGCAGCAGCTGCTATACTTGCTTGTTTTGTCTGCCTGATGTTTTCCAGGCAGCTTGTAGTTGGGCAAGATGGCAGTGTGCAGGGAAACAATGAAGCTACATTTGTTGCAGGTGCTGCAAAAAGAACCAAAAGCCCTCTGTGATCCAGCTATTACATGCAGGCTTTAAAAGCTTGCACAGCAGGGCTCTCTCCATTTTAGTCTTTACATTTCACAAGCATTACTGTGCCATTCATTCCACTAACACCTGAACACACTGCATCCTCCTGTGAGAAAGAGCATTTCTATCTCCTTTTATGGTAGGAAACTCCTAAGGTGGGAAGTGGTTACAGAATCTGTCCATAGTCACATACTAGGGCTGTGAAAGAGCCATAAACAGGTTTGTTTCCCTTGTCCCGGGCCTTAATTCACAGAAAAATCCTTCCACTGTAGTGAAGCAAGTCACATTGGGTTGCAGCTTTTGTAACTCTGCATTAGTGCTGTAGTTCATAGACCTCCCTCATTAAATGGTCACATGCTGCAGACTGAATGCCAGGCTGACCTTCCAGCCTTTGCTTGCAGGCTGGAAAGGCAAAATGTTGGCACTGAAAAACTCAGCTTTCATTAAGCACTGCCTGAAATCAGCTAATCTCATTTGACTGAACATAGAAACAGCAATACTATAAACAGAGGGGTTTGGTGCTTGGGTTAGCATGGGGGTATGACAAAATCAGAGACTGTCCCAGCTCTGCTGAAGCCAGCAGCAGCCTCCCACTGGCTCAGCTTTTGGGAAACTATTTAAGCAAAGCCAAGAGAGAGATGAAACTGCGGAGCACACAGCTGGTAAACAACAATCCCATCTGGAAACAGTAAATGAATAAAATACATTTGACCTCTGCTATCTCCAGGGAACTTTGCCATTCCCAGGTAACAGGAGTTTAGGTGTCAACTGCCAAAGCTGGGTGCTTATGGTAAGTGATGAGCCGGTCCATAAGAAGTCTTTTTCATCTTACTTTCAATAGGAAGTGAGCAATGTGTACTTTTTCTCTCTAGATCCCTGAGCTAGCACATCTTTATGATGTGACTTGCTTTCTTCTGACTTCCTTTTCAAGACCAGCTGTGTGGATCTGTTTGTCACTGCTTTGGGAACTATACTCATGGTTTTATCTGCTTTGTGTGTGTATTTCTTTATGCCAGCAACTGTCTTTCTGCTTGGTTTGTCAGCAGCACCTAGCACAGCACTCAGGAGCTGTCATAAGCTGAATGATAAACAGTGATAACGATCTCTGCCCCTCTCCAGTAGCTGCAAGGAGATGGTGTCCCATCAGCCTGGGAAATCTTTGCAACCTGGCATGCATCTGTGCTTACACGGTACATGATGGAGGGTCAGAATTGTCTCAGTATCATCTACCTAGCAGCAATAACTTTGCATAGTTTTCATTTTACATTGGCTTGTTTACAGTCAGACTCAGGCTTCCCTGCAATAAGGGATGTTTGTCTCGAGGTTTCTTTGCTTCCCAGCACGTTGGTAGAGCTGGCTGTGGTCACTCTCTGTTCATATCACAGCAGTGGGTTGGGATGCACAGCTCAGGGATCCTGAGCATGGCTGTGTGTGGTGTATGGATGCAGGACAGATGTGTCACCAGGATTCTAATTAAGTTAGGGGTGCAGAGAAAAATAACTCAAGTGTGAAAGGAACATGTCTTAAAATGAGCATTTTGCTAAATAGATTTTCTCCTCTGATTCACTGCTCCAATGCAGGATTTCAGCCTCCCCTGAGTAGCTCATTGTTCACTTGTTTTTTTTTTTTTCTCTATTAATAAATATGCACAAACACTTAAATGGAATAATGTGTCTTATAGAAAACAAAAAGAAAACAAAAAGAAAAAAAAAACCAAAAAAACAAAAAAACCCCAACACAACAACTTGATGTCCCACTGGGGAGAAAAAGCTGTACAGAGAAGAAGAGCTGGCTGATTTCTGTTTGTTGAAATAAATTTGTCACTTATGCTTAGCTCCTGGGGCTTTGCTGCATGGGGGCAAGAGAAGTTTAACTGCTACTCTTGTTTAAGGCACACTGTTATGTCAGTATTTAACAGGAGAACTGACTCAGGATCAGACTCATAAGATGCATAGTGAACAGTGGATGAGAAAGAATTTTCGGAGCAGATTGTAGTTTGGAATGAGCAGGGAAAAAGTGACATTACAAAAAAGCTTATTTCAGAGATCTTTGTTCCTTAAGGGGATGTTTCATCTTCTTGGACAATTCTGTAACACAAGCACAAGGGTATGACTTGGGGGTTCTCTCTTCTTTTCTCCTTACATTATTTCTTGGATGTTGCATGTTTGCCAGGAATTCCTTTTTGTGCTGGAAGGAATCTCACAGTAATTCTGAAGTTACCTCACTGTAGGGAGACATTACAGGAAGTAACTTGGGCAGATAACAGCTCTCAAAGGCCTGATCTCGTCAGAGCTCCTGGGTAGAGGCCATACTTTGTACTAATAGTGGATTATGGTGACCAATGGTGCTTTTAGTGATTATTCCTGTGAAGCTGTGCTTTGTTTCCTGGTGTGTGCATGTGTCTGCCTGTCTGCTATAGGCAGAGGGACAGCCTCTGAACTCTGTTCTCACTGCCAGTGCAAGCTATGGGGCACCCACAGCTTATCTTCTCCTTCTGAGGACCCTGTGCTGTCCTCTGTCCCACAGCTCTCATTGCTGTGGGTCTCCCATGCCAGGAAAACGTGGCCCAGCATGCAGCTTCTCCATCAGTGCTTGACTTGTCCTTCTGCTGCCTTCCCAGGGAGGTGTGCAGGAGGCTTTGGCCATCATGGTGGCAGGTTCATCCTCAGACTGCCAGGAGAAGCAGGCTGGCTCCCTGGGGTCCCCTTGCAAGGGGGAAAGCTAAGGATGTTTGAACGAGTCCAGTACATTAATAAGCCAGGCTGTCCCACATAGCAGGAGCAAAAGTGGGACAACCAGCATGCTGCTAATTTTACACAGGTCCAGGGGGATTTTTTTTCCAGGAAGGGTGTTATGATTATTTTGTGTTCTAAAGTGCCTAAAATTAATGTTTGTCAGAATCAAGCTACTATTGAAAGCTTCACCCTACCCATCCCAGGCCTTGGGAGAGCTCCACACACTGGGAGGGGCAAGCTCTGTCCCAGGATCCCTCAGCCTGGCAAAAAAAAAGAGACAGAAGTGGGGAGAAACACTGACCCAGCAGAGGATCCCCAGCTCTGCCAGAGCTCCTGGCTTACCCACTGTGCTATCTCCATGAGCTGAATGACAGCCAAGGTGTGCCCAGCACCCTGTGCACCCAGCAGAGCCCCGGTCCCCTCCTGGTGGTACATTACTCCCAGTGCCTAAGGTCCAGTCCTGCAAGGAGCCAAGCATGCTAAGCAAAGCAACACAGTGTTCAGCCAGTGGGTTTGCTTACATGCTTAAACACTTCGTTAAGTTTTTTGCTTAATTAGGCCAGACTGTGTTGTTCCTTGTGGGATTGAGCACAAAGCGAGGCACACTAGATTAGAACTAATATTTTGAAGCTAAAAGCTGAAAATGAAGCACTTAGCCCCCAGTTCTGCAAATGATTAAGCACATGGGTAATTACTGATTTCATTCATTCATCAGTGGTGTTGATTTCAGTAGGGCCATGCGATATTGGTAGTTGCTCAAGTGTGTAAGCATATGCAAGGTTGGGGCCCTGGGTTAAAAGAGCACAGAGGCTGGGGAGATGGATATTTGTACAGTGCATAACACATGGGGTCTGCAAGGCCTGTCACAAGTCCCTGGGTAGCACAATAAGAATAGTAATGCCATATTTAAGCACTCTTGATTGTTAATGATGCTAAACACTGAGCTTCACAACTGAAACATGGCTCAGGTTTTCTGTGTCAAGCAAAGTCATGGGTTGATGGTTGGACTACATAATCTTACTGGTCTTTCTAATGATTGTATGATTCAGAGAGCTACCACCATTGTTAATAGTGTAAAAGAAACAGCTGATATTATCTGAACAAGAAATCCCTGTGGCCTTGTGTCCACCTGGGCTATTCTTTTCCTAAATGTGAATGCTAAAATACTGCACCTAATCCAAAAGGAACAAAGTGAAATTTGAGCTGCAGTAGATTTTGTCTCAACAAGTTGGAGAGAAACAATTTTGCTGCTGTTCTTTTGTCTGTTTGCTTTTCCCTGGGTACATTTTGTTTTGCCTGGCTTTTTTCTCCCCCACTTTTTAAAAAAGACACAGACCTTATCTGCTAGGAATGGCTTAATCCCTGGTATCTTTTTGTTCCCTTTAGATGATTTGACAGTGATGTTTATAGAGCTCATGATTCAGGAAAACCAAAGAGAGGATAGAATAGAAACGAAATGAACTGAGCTCACCCAGGAGAGCCTCCTGCCATTCCATGAAGCAGCTGTTAATGATGCCTTTGATAATGTGCCATGCTGATGGGACCGTTACATGATTTCTTTTCTGTATCCAGACGGCAGTGTTTTTAAGCTGATTGTGTGTGCCCTCGGGGGGAGTTACAATTCCATGTTTTCAAACAGAGCCACCACGAAGCACCTTGTGTCACAAACAAGGCTCATTAGCATAGCTCTGCAATTAAACCCAGCTCTGTCTGCTGTCCTGAGATAAAGAACTCCCAATTTATGGCCCGGTTGACTTTTGCTGGAGATGAATGGGCTGACAGCTTGGAGTGGTGACGTTTTGTCTCATGAGTGCAGCTGTTCACAAGGGTGATCTCTCAGAATGTGACTTTTCCACAGACTAACCCAGGGTATTAGCACTAACTAATTACAGGGGAAAGCCAGGGGCGATGGTTTGCTGGGAATGGGAACATCGCAGGCCACAAACAGCTGGGTTGTGCTCATGCCTTTCTGTCTTTGAAAACAACAGCTCTGCTGGAGGAGAGCTCCCCATCTGGCAAGCTCTTCTAATTCGTATAATAAATGCAAATGATATTTACCTTATTTATTTTTGACCAGTCCTTAACAGAGTTTAGAAGGGGTTGGATGCATATAGCAAGACGTGTGTCTTCTCTTCAGAACAAATGTGTGTTGCTGCATTTGATGAGCAATATTGTATTACAGTTTCCACGCTAGTGTGTTTTCAATTTTGTGAGCACTGTTTTTAGGAAAGAACTTTTCCCATGTTTATTTTTCAATTCACTGACTTTTTGATGTCTAGTTTTCCTTCCTTTGGCTTGAGCTTGTATAGGAAAAATTAATGGTTTTAGGTATTGCTTTTTCCTAATTAAACACTTAAATTTATACAACATTGTTTGCTGCACCTAAACATGAAGAGATTTGATTCCTAAAGCAACTCTAACATAGGGATCCTTCATGTAAAATAGGTGATAGATAGAGTGTGCTCTGCAGGATTCAACAGAAGGAAACAGAAAGGGCTTTCTGGTGAAGCAGTGGAACATTCATCAGTGCAGGAGCTCAGGGAGGAGAAGTCCTAACACCTGTCAGAGATCAGGTCCTGCCTCAGGTGGGAGTTTGGGTTGCAGAGATGTGGGCTCCCAGGACTGTGGGACAAACACAGCAGTAAATCTGAACTGAAGGCTTGTCATCAATGTCTGCTTTATAACAGCCAGGTGGGCTGTTTACACCCATCATTGCGGATCACAAGTGCAAGAGAACTGCAAGAGAACTTTACAGATATTTTAAGGTTTGATCTGCTTGTAATAATGACAATGGGATTGCTGCAGGAGCGTATTAGGTAAATGTGTAGGGTACAAGTGAGCTTGGAAATATGTTCTGCAGCTCATTCCAGGAGAACATGGTTGGGGCTTGGAGTTTCTGAAATGTTAAATATGAACCTTTGTAGCCTGAGACCCATTGGGAAGGGGTGGGTGAGGTGGAGTGGTGTGTATAATACATATATGATGTTGGGTGAGGTAAGCAAGAAATGAAAGAGTTAATGAGCTGAAGGAGCATTGTGTCAGCCTTCTGCAGCCTCCTGTGTGACACCACCTGGAGACCTCCCATCTCCACCATGTCAGCCTGCTTGTCAGAACTGGACTCCTTTGTCCCTGAAAAGTATATCTGCAGCTGTGATGAACCTTACCATCCCTGTCCCTGTTGACATGCTCTCTCGTGTAGGTACAAGTTAAGAGTCAGACTCAAAACTCTACTGTCTGGTTTTTGGTGAAGATCAAAATCCAGTAGTAAAAGGCTGAAGATCTGACAGGTCAGATAGCTGGGAACATCAGATGCTCAGTTGCACATGTACCAGCACTCCCCAGGAAAGTTGTGCTGTTTTCAGGAAAGGGTCTTGGGGCCAAAAAGTCTCTGTTACTGACTTCTGTCCATCTTAGAAAAAGAATTCCTTTGCGCTGTAAATATCTACAGAAACCCCTTTATTTTTTATTTAAAAAGTTTTTCTGTGAGCATGTGGATCCCCACAGAGCTAATTTAAGCCCAGTAGCAATAGACTCACGTTACTTAATTATCCTTTGCAGAATCATTCTAGGATTCCCAGGTGTTCTTGGGCCACAAGTTGAAAACTATCTATGCATTGGAGGATAAGATGTCTAAAGGTGATGGACAGGGATATGGAACACAATCTCTGAATTAGGGAGGACCTACTGGTTCTTGCTGTGAGGTGATCCCTCTCATTTACTCCAGTTTGAAACTCTTGAGGAAAAAAAGATATTTTGATCAACAGTCAGCAGTGCATCCACAGACTCAGTGGCCATAAGAACAGTTTAGAACTGTGTTGCATATGACACTGGTTTTGAACCTGGGCCAAGCAGTGAGCCAGTGAGGTACCTCATAGTAAGGAATGAGAACATGAGATACTAATTTCTCTCCATTTGCTACTGAATAAATGCCAGCATGGGGTCTAGGGCATCTGAATCTTTAAGATCAGCTTGTACTGACTACTTTGGAGTCAACATAAATTCTGGTTAATCTGTGTATGGCTACTTTAAAATTTCACTGCTTTCTTGGCAGCAGTGATTCAAAGATGTCTCTGGCTGAAAAGGTGATGGAAAGGGGGTAAGCTGTCTGCATTGGTGGGCAACTATATGGTGTATCTCTTCCAAAGCACTTAGGTTGTACCAGACTTTGAATCTTTCTGTAGCTGCCACAGCTGCTGGTAAGTGGCACAGAAGCCCTTAACTCTGTGCATGTACATGTCCACCCTGTAGAGAATTTTCTCCTAATCTGAATCTGCCTTCTTTTATTTTAAAGCTATTATCCCTTGTCCTTTTACTATATTACCTGATATGTATCATCTCAAAGTAGGGAAGGAGAACAGTGTATTTCCACAGCAAATACGAGTAGTGTTTACTGTTGTTTTCACTTCATGCTGCAAGGTATGTGCTGCCTAGCAGAGATGTTTCAGGAATTAACAAAGAGCAGAATGGAAACTAGCAAAGCAAGTGGTCTAAGCAAACTCTGTTGAATGCACATTTTTCTTCATTATTTTCTCATTGGAGCATGATGATATCTGATGGAGCATTATGGATGGGGAGAAGGAAAGAAGTGTTAGCAAAGCCTAAAAGCAACACTCTACTGCTATGGTTAATGAGGCAAAAAGAAAATTCTGGCTGTGGCAGCAGTGAAGTCTGATGAGAGAGAACTAGGCTTAAGCTTGGATGAGGGAGTGCAGCTTGAAGAAGGAACTTTACTTGGTCAAACATGTAAAGCCTTTTCCTTGATAACCTTTTCCCACCTTCTTAACTAGGCATCTATGTGACTGTTATCAAATACTGATGAGCTGAGCTTTTAGTGCCAGCTGTCTGAGGAGATGATGTAAGCAAACACTGATTCTGGCATTGGCCATATCAGGTAAAATGAAGGACTAAATACTTTGTATTGAGTCTGGGTCTGTCACTACTGGGCTGCCAAGTCTTCCTGTTGGTGATTGCTGTGGCACTGTGGAGAGGGCCTTGCTGCCTTCCTGTTAACCTTCTGGGTATCCAAACTCATCAGGTCAATAGGACAGAGTGACTTGTGCAGCCTCAGTCACAAGCTGAACAAAATCTAGAGTTCAGTGTGCTCAAGCAACCCAAACCTCCCATGCTCAGTGATTCTGGGGTTCCACAACAGTTGGGTGTCGTGTGAAGGGAAAGGAACTTAGTGCAACATGACAACTCATGGATATTACCAACAGTCTTAAAATTCATATTCCTTTGCTTGGTTTTAGGTTGAGAATCTCCAAATGCCCAAGGATTAGGCACACAAGTCCTTCATGGATTTGACTGAATGCTCTGCTGCTAGTGGAATTTGCCACTTTAGGTTACATTCCCTAAAACAGATAAGGAAGAAAGATGCTCTCTTAGGACTCAGCAAGCTGGATCAGAATACCCAAAGTTATGGTGAGCCAGGCTTGGCACCTCTAGCTCAGAAGCAGGTGCTTAGATTGGGATCACACCTGTTTTGAGTTTACAGGTATGGACTGAATCATGGAGCTGGGAAGGGCAGAGCCAGCCAGATAGCCCTAGGAAAAGAAGAGCAGAAGGCACGTAGCCAGCAGTGAGTCACGAGGAGCATAGCAGCCCTATCAGTTCTGTATACCTTGGCTCAGGCCTTCCTGCATGTGGACTGAGCTTCAGGTAAAAATGTACACAACTGTTGTATGTATCTGTAGTGGAAATGCTAAGTCACAGCTTGAAGCAGTGATTGAGCACCTGGGCCAACCCAGGGGAGCTCAGGTGCATGTAATGCAGCTGAGTTACTGAAAGGGCTGGATACAGGATCCACCCCTTCCTAGCCCTCATTTAAGAGTTGGCAATGTAGGTGAGGGTATTTTGCTGGAGATCCCTGTGTACTTGAGGTTTTCTGAAGGTAAGCAGCTTCTTTCCTTTGTTTCTATGGCTGTTGCATTTGGGTAAGTCCTCACTTGCTGTAGCCTAGGATTTTGCTACTCTGCTGTCATTGCTGTGCTTTTTATTGTGTTTCCATTGTGTTACAATGTCAATGCAGTTACTTATTTTCTAAAGTCTCTCCTGGTTTCTGGGTTTAATGCAGTCTCATTTTGAACCTGTGTGAGCTCTTGGTTACAGCTATGGAATTGCAAGTGCTAAGACTTCAGTGTGCTGAAGTCTTCTAGAGGGCCTGGCCCCAAAAATCAGACTTTCTGGAAGTTTTCAGTACTGAAGTTGTCTCTGATAGGATGTTAGAAAGTGCTTAATGCAGTCTGAGTTTGGCTGTATTAGGTCTGTAGGTGCTGATATGGCCATTTAACTGGAATAAAAATATCTTAAGAGAAGTTGTCCTTTTGTTAAGCCACTGCCGTGTCTTAGAGAGCTCAGATTCTATAAATAGATGTCAGTTTGCCCTAGGAATAGTCTGGTATTCTATTAATGTTATCTCTTTACTAGTGCCTACTATCTATTCTGTCGTACTTATCTGCAGAAAGCTCAAACTCTATACCTATCTCAGCTTTTGAGTGTCCATAGAAGCATTGCCTTTGGTATAAGGTCAGTTATTATTATTTTTAATGGGCATCCTTTGGTTTCATTTTTGACTTTTTTTTCCCTCCACTGGCTTGCACTGGTACAGAAAATAACAGCTGAATTACATTTGGTTTCCCCTGCTTCCTTTCTCTGTGAGATGAGGTTACAACGACCTCATCTACCTAAATCAATAATCTGCACCCAAATCTAATAAAGATCTAGCAGGGCCTGTAAAATAGCATGCAGCCCAGATGGAAAGGGAGGTCCTAATGGCCATTCCACTCATTAGCTATTTATCAACCATTAACGACAAGAATAGGAGTGGTGCAGGGAGAAAAGGACTCAACAGCAAGAAAGCGGAGAACCTTCCTGAATAAGAGGAGGAGACAAAGACTATAATGTGCTCATCTGCAGATTACAGTGTGACTCTGACTAGGGAGAGGGAAGTGCCTAAAAAAGGGAATTCCCATGGACATTTACTTGCAGAACTCTGGGTTTTCCTACAGGAAATCTGTATTCAAGTATGCTGTATGAAAGAACATGCAGAAGAGCTGAAGTATGTTTATGTCCCTACTGTCTGAGGCTTCATCCCGTTGTGGATATGAAAGCACTAAACCAAAAGGCCATATTTCCTCAACACAAATATTTTATTTATGTATATATATCCAGTATAAAAGGAATTTCTTTATCTGATCTTAAACTGGTCACTTGATCTGTAGCAAATTTAGATTAAAAAACCCCTTGCAATTTCCCAATTATTTGCATCAGTACAAATATTTTCTTTTCACGTGAAGGAGATGAATGTATAAACTGGCCATATAATTTTTTTTCATTGAATTAGTGTAGCACAGAATCAGGCAGGCAGCTACACTGACAAAAATAATCTTTCATCCTTGTTTTTTGAACAGAAACTGGCTCTGTGACAAAATAGGACTTTTTAATGCTGTCAGCAACATTATTTTGTATTTGAAAATGAAAGCCACTGTTATCTTTTTTTTAATTTTTTACTTTAAATGATGGTAATGTTTTAGTGGTTATGCCTTTTTATACAATTTTGAAGCTTTCATACTTATTTTGGGGAAGAGTGTTAATATTTGATGGAGATGGGAAATGCTTTTTCAAAGTTGGAGCAGTAGAGCAAAAGGAATCCAGCATCTCTTGAATTTGTGGTATGAACAAATGCAATAATGTCCCATGAAATAATATTTCAGATTCCAGCGATGCAGAACAGTGATTCCAAAGAAAACAGGAAATAAGAATAATTAGTTGAACATGAGGAAGAATCCCAAACATTACTAAAATTCCAGAAGTTTTATGAAACGGTAGCCAAGAACTGGTCTTTAAGTCTTTTTTGAGTAATGTTTGAATTTTGCTCTGCAGTGAAAAGCTGTTGTTGTAAGTTTGTATTTTCTTTGATGAATGCTGACTTTGACTTCTTTGGTAAAATAGTTGCAACCCAGTTTTCCTATTCCCTAGAATCTTTACTGTTCTGCGTTTCTCGCTCCGTACATCTCACTGGGATGGCTAACAGGAGCACAGCTGAAGCCAGGGGCTGGTTTGCAGGGCAAACAGGGGGCACTGAATCCTTCCCCCCTTTCAAAGCATATACTACACACACTGCTGTATGTGGAGAGGAAGGTGTCAGCAGTGCTGGCCCTTGCTAAGAATGGAGGCAGCTGTGTAGCATTTTTCAAGATGGTTTGGGGGATCTGCTGCACTCTCTGCTGGTTTGCTTGACTTAAAATCTGAGCCATGTTTTCTGTTTGAAGTTGTCTGGCTTTAGCTCTCAGCCATGGGTTCTTGTTAAGCCTTTCTCTGCTAGATTAAAGAGCCCTTTATAACTGGTATTTTCTCTCCGCAGAGGTGCTTAATACCCTGTAATCAAGTCACCCTTGGTCTTCTCTTTGATAAGCTTAACAAATCCTGCCCATCCAATTTCTCACTGGAAGCAGTTCCTCCTCACCAGCTTTTAAACCACTTTGGTGGCAGTTTTCTTCCTAGCCTCTGATCTTTCAGCCTCTTCTAAGACCATGCAGCTCCCTCAGATGTGCATGGTCTCTTTCGAACAGTCCCACCAGTGCTGCAGAGAAACACAGCCCCTCAGCATGTGCTGAGGTGCTACAAAGGGCATTGTTTTCCTGCATAGTACTGCAAGGCATCACCTCCATTCCTTGTCCTTTGCTGTACAGCTGTAATAAGGCTTTTATTAAAGGACCTGACTTACAGATGAGTCATTTAACTGTAAGATTTCCTGCATTTTTTCAGTGCAGCAAACTGTTCTGCTCAGCCATTAGGTTTCTTTTTTCTCTTCCTTTTCCTGTTCTGCTTCATTATTTTAGTCTCCCCCACTTGCCAGTGCTGTGTTTAGGTTTTCTAGAGAAGAGCTGGTGAAGATGGTCATGCTCCTAGGAGAGTTGTGGAACATCTCCTGAGGGGAGACTTCAGGAAGGGAGAGATCCTTGTGAGCATGACTAGATGTGCCTCATAGTTGGATGCTGGAGGAGAGATTGGCAGCCACACCATGACAAGGGATTACATGTATTAATGAAAGTGTCTTGAGATTTTACAAGCAGTGGCTCTCCAAGTGGTGCTTGGTGAGGGAGTACCCTGTGGTATGCTGTGCAGTGTTCTGCTCTCATTTGTCCTTGTAAAACATGTTGTCTTCTCTGACTTAGTGCAACTCATGCTGAGGATAACTGCTCTGAGCCTAGAGGGGTTTGCACTCCTTATGGAAGAGGTTTGGGATAAATGTATCCACTTCATTTGGTAAATATGCTCATGCTCGCATGATAAGTTTTATTCGACTGTCTGTCTGTGAGAGCTGGAAAGTTTATTTTTTTTTTTTCTGGAGCAGTAAATCAACAGGCTGTGCTTAAAGATTCAAGAAGGTCCTTCATTTGCCAGTCCAAAATCTGATTTGCTGAAGCCTCTCTAACAAGCAGGCAGCTGAATCACATTCTATATTTCTCTTCTGTATGCAGTGGGACAGAAGATCAGAGAGACAGTGTTGAAAGGCTTCCAACACTGCTGAGTTTATATATCAGTGAAAGATGTGTGTGGTTGTTCCCCTCCCTCTTTCAGAGGAAGATGTTTTTTTCATTACATAGCTTTAGACCTGTATTTTTCCATTCACTAGTTGTTACCTCTGTTCTCCTTTTGTTTCCAAAATGGAGGAAAAAAAATAAAAAATACAGATGGCTCTGGTGTTGTTTACCCCAGGAAACATTTTGAGCATTCAGTAATAAAACTGGAGGAAATCCTTCACTTCCTTTATGCCTCCTAGCAAGTAACCACATCACTATGAAGTGAGGATGTTTTTGGGTACTGACCCAGTGTCACTGATGAGAACACAGCCATAAATACTTTCAAGATGCAGTCTTGAATTGAGCTGGTAGATGAGGAAAAGCCACTTCTGTTTTGGAAAGGAATTCTTTCCTTCTGCAACCACTTTCTAAATTGCATTGACATTATGCAATTAACATACAAAAGCTTTTGTATCCGCAGGATTGTTTTTCATGTCAATAAACACATTCCTTTGCTTTTCAGTGCAATGTTTAATAATTCTCATTTCCCATAGTGGAAAAGAGTCCTAGTACTTTATTTGTATTACACAAATTACACAGAAGAAACAAAGCCATATCTGATTGTAGTTATTAAATTAAGAATATTTGCATAAATCTTTTTTTTCCTAATCTCGTTTGCTGTTGGTAAACAGTGTGTTATCAAGGTTTAGCAATGTGTTTGGTTTCTAGCTGCATTTTTGCTTTCACCCTTTTTGAAGCTCGTTTGACAGACGAGGCTTGCTTCATCTAAGCTACCTGTCAAGTGTATGTGTTGAGAGATGTTATTCAAGAACATGGAGACCTGGTCTTATAGATTAGAAATATCTGAAATATCCATGCAACTTGTGTGCCTGGGAAAGGCAGCTGTGGTCCGTGGCTTGTGTTCTAGGCACTATGAAATCTAGGAAAATGAAAGGGATGAGTCTGGTGGGGAAAAAAATACCCTAAATGTAAACTCAGGCACTGGAGTGGAGCAGCTTGTGCCTTGTATGCAGTCCGAATTATCTTCTTGCTCTCCAACATGGAACTGCAGGGAGGAAAGTGCAGTCTTTTCTTGCACAGGCTCTGCTTTGAGCTAAATCAAGGCTAAAGAATGGAAGAGGTGCTGCTGCTGCAGCTTTGAGTGGCCCTTACACGAGCTCAACTCTGCTTTTATCCCCCTTTGATCAGGCAAAACTGGAACCTTTGTTTTGCCATGGTAGTCTAACTGGTGGGAGGGTACAGAGCCAGACGTTAACTTGAAAATGAGTTTACTGCAATAATGTTATTATGTTTTATTGACCAAGCATTTCCATGAGTGATGAAAGGGGATTATTGGGAAACTGGG